ATAGTAAATATATAAACTTTAATAATTAATATTTCTAAATTTTTTTATATAACTGTGTGTGTTGTTTGTCTTTTTAAAAATTTCTTTTTTTATAAGTAATTACTAATAAAAAATGCATTGGCCTTTTTTATATAATTATAGATGGAAAAAATTTTACTTGATTTCTTGGAAGATTATAATAACTCAATGATGTCACCGATGCAATTAATATTATTTGAAGATGCAATGAGTCAAATTTGTAGAATCATGCGGATTCTTCGACAACCTAGAGGAAATGCTTTATTACTAGGAATGGGTGGTTCAGGTATACTGTAATTGTATATCGCACACAATTAAAAAAAAAAAAAAATTTTAAATTAATTTCCATATCATTATTTTAAAATTAATTTACATATCTCGCATAAAAGATCCCTTTGACAAAGATATTGTTAATCAATTTTAAAATTAATTTAAAATTTACTAAATACTATATATGTAATAATAATATATATATTTTTTATAAGCTCTTAGAAATCGATAAAACTGATTCCATCAAGAGTACAAATATAATTATAAATTGAATAATAATGCTATTATTAATTTTTTACAATTTTAAATAGTTATATGCTATATTATGTTTTCGCTTTTAATATTAATAACATTCTGTAAAACTATTGTGTAATATGCTTGGCAAATAGCTTATTCATTTCAATAATTAATACTTTAATATTTTTCTCCTTTCCTCGTATTTTCTCGAGAAATTCATATTGATGGCTTCTTCAATCTAAAGAACTCGCTGTCCAAAGAAAAACTTCCGTTTATTATATTGCGTCTAGAAGATACGAATACAAAATAAAACATTTATATTTTTACTAGGACGTCATAGTCTGACGAAGCTTGCATCGCACATCCAAGAATACAACTGTTTCCAAATCGGAACCAACAAAGCTTATACGATTCATGACTGGCGAGAAGATATCAAAAATTTAATGCTAAAGACGGGATTGCGGAATCAACCTGTTGTCTTTCTGTTTTCTGATGTACAGGTAAAATCGCAGGCCAGATTGTCAATTAAAACCTAGAGTATAGCTAAATAAAAAATTCGTCATATTTTGCTCCCTACATCTTTGCCTGTATATTTATGTTTTTAATATAATAAATAACATCTAATAAAAGGAACAGGCAACATTGGAACGCACATAATAATTTTATGAGTTTTTTTAAAACATAAAAAAAAAAGATAATTAAATTTAGAAATAACAAGAATTATTAGTCATTTTTTGCTATTATATCGTTATGTTTCTAACTAAATTTATAATTTTAAATATACTAAAATTTGAAATAGATAAAAATTAAATTTTAGCCTATTCAATAATTAAAATAAACTAATTATTTTTATAATTATATATACATATGTCATAATTTTTATGCTTATTTATTAATAATATATTATTATCATTGCTAGACATATCATGTGTATATGTGTGCACTCACATATACAAAAAGATTTTTTTTCTCTTTTTTTCTCCTTCTCTTTACTTTATAATAATAATAAAACTACATATTTTTATGTATCCTTTTGCATTAAAAAATGAACATCTATCCGCTTTAAGCGTATTATTAAATTTATTTACACGTCAAAACTAAACCAGAGGGATTATGTTGATATTATAGCATTTCGTTTCACGTAAAACGAGCACATTTTTCTAGATAAAAAATGAATTTATGCTGGAGGATTTGAATAATATTTTGAATATTGGCGATGTTCCGAGTATATATCAAACTGATGAAGTAGACAAAATTTATCAAGCAATGCGAGCGCCTGTACAAGAGGCTGGGCTACAAATCAATAGAAGTAATCTTTTTTCCGCCTATCTGAAGAGAGTCAGAAACAACTTGCACATTATCATCACAATGAGGTACTTTTATTGTAAAGTTTAAACTTTTGTATTATTGTAAACTTATTATATCAGTGTCATGTGTTTTTGGCACTTCTTAAAGAGATTTAATTTAGTGATTCTTTCTAATAGTAACAAAAATTTTGTAATTATACTTTCCCTATCTATAAATGATTAAATTGTAATTTTTTAAAAAATCCATACATCACACGCAATTTATATATCATTTTTTTTTTTTGGAAAAAAGAAGGACAAAAAAATATGACTTTTGTTAATAGCCCTAATAAAACGTTGGACATTGAGTCACGCAAATATGAATTATCATTTGTCACGATATGAATCTACGGTAAAGATTCACCCGTGAGATTTGTCCATTTATTACGAGTAGACACGGTTTTGCAGTATCGAGTGTCATATAGTTCTTAATAGCCGTGACGTCATTAATCTCATATCACGTGCTGTGCAAAATAAAGTTAAGAATCTCGATAGATGTGAAAAGAATAATAGTTATTTATGATTTTTAAAAAATCTATTTTTTCATTATTCATAATTTTTTTACAAAAATGATCTGTATATTTAGTTTGTGAGCGTGCTGTAAATTTCTTGAGTATTGCAAATTATTTAAGAACAACTTTAAGTACCAAATATTAATTTGAGAAACAAAAACTTTTTTTGAAACTTAAATTATTGAAATTTTTGCAAGGTAAGTCTATCGTGAAAAGAAACATTAAAATTTGGAATCTACTTAATAATTTATTTATTGAACTGATGAGGCAATTTAATAACCATTTTTATTAAGCAGTAGTAATATCATATATCTTTTTTAAACATTAAATTATAAATTATAAACATATAAAAATAAGAACTTTTAAATGTAATACCTATTTATGCTGTTATTTTAAGTTAAGATAATTTTCGGCAGAATATATAATAAAATCTTCGAGAAAAAGATGATAATAAAGTGAAAGATTAACTTCCAGCAAAAGAATGATCAGAAACGTAAAAGTAGGTAAAATATGAAAACGGCGATAAAGCCGAGGGAGTAATGAAATATTGATCGTCGGACTTAATATGTTCGAACTAGAATGAATCTTTATCTCAGATTTATATGGATTTTTCATAGAATAAGCAAATCACTCATAATTAAGATTAATTGATAATTTTACTGCTAATCGTCATAATAATTTTATCGCAAATGCATTGCATTTCGCGTCCTTCGATCTTCTTTTCGAAAATACTAATTTATTCCTCTTTTAGCCTTTGTTTTATATCTATTAAACAAAAATTCAAAGAAAAGATTATTTTATTCGTCAACTCTCATAAATTTAAAGAAAGATTATAATTTATATATGTCACTTTCTCGCTTTTCTATGTTAATTTGCTTAATAAACTTAAGGATAAGAAAAGACGATATTATAATTATATGTAAATTAAATACGAGACTGCAATAATTAAATAGTTTATTTAATAAAATTTGCTAAATTAATTGTATCTAATAGATTAATCAATCAAGACTGTACAATCTGTACATGTAATTAACTTAGTGAAAATAATTTACTAAATCACTTTTGCAGAAAAGTATTAAAATAATAAATTATAATAAAAGAATATTAATAAAAGAAACGTTTAATTTTGTATTAATATTCGTAATAATACTCGTATACAATAATTATGCGCACACAATCAATATCAATGTTTTTGTTATTATTTGGCAAATCATGAAACATTCAATATATTTAATCACACATGTGTGTGTGAATCTACATACAGAATTAACTTGATGTTCTTACATTTCCAATATTTAGCCCGATTGGAGATATATTTCGCGCTCGCATCAGACAATTCCCGGCGCTAGTAAATTGCTGTTCAATTGATTGGTTTTGCCCCTGGCCGGATACCGCACTTCAGGTTTGTATAATACGATAAAGCGTGAAATGGCTAAAAATATATCTGTCCCGCAACTTTTGATTATAAAAGCGTTTCAGTAAAAATATCAAATCAATATTATGTTCGTCTCAAATATCGTACAGTATTTTATACATTATTATTTATATACTAGGTATATATAAATTTTAATGTAATTTTTAAATCTATTTATAAAATTATAAACGTCTCATGTCAGAATATTGACAGCAATTAGATATATTACAAGGTTTGAATATTACGTGAAGCATTGCAACATATACTTTTCCTAAGAGATATTAAACAATAATAAACAATAAATTAGTGTATTTAATCGTTGTAGTTTAGATTACAAAATATTTTTATTTTATATTTCTATTTACAGTTTATATTAGCAAACAGTTAGCCACTTTAATCGCATAAATTGTGAAAGGATAAGATGTAAAAGCCTATTATAAATGACAGTTGCAATTTGTAATTAATTTTAGCTCAAAGGTTTCTATCATAATGCTCACAATTTTGACAGACATTTAATTAACAAGTTTATCAGATCTTTATAAATTGATATGTCTAAGAAGATTAAGATCCAATTTTATTGGATAGACGATGTAAATAAACAAAATTCGTAAAATAATAACGCGTATCTGTTGAAATTCAGAATTTGAAGAATTTGTATCAATTTTGATACAATTTTCGTTGAATTATTTTACCCTTTAAAACTGATTAATTTAAGAATTATGCAGAGAGATTCCGTTGATTTATAAAATATACAAGAAAATATTTGTTTACTCACATATATCTAGATACAAACCGGTATTTAATATTTAATTAATAATAAGTACAATTTGACTCTGAAATCTACTCTGAATCGACGTATCTTGTTATATCGTACTTAAATAGTGTGCATTTAATATGATGCATAAATGAATCTTGTTACATAATACTTACAAAGTAAGTTTGCGATATTAATTCCAAATTTCACTTCCGATCTCTCCTCGACATCTCTCAGTATTGTAAATTAGTTCTCAAATACGAGGGCGAGAGTTGGCGCAAATTCATGTAACGCGTGGCAGTTATTAATTTCGTAAAGTTTATCACAAAATTACAAGACGGATATTTTGAATTACATCACGAAATAATGGGATATAATCGCTCGAGTATCACAGTTGCAATGTATTTTTGCTTAGAGCATAGCGACGCATCTTCTGTCGGGTATCAAAGACAAATCGATCACGGATAAAACTTTGCGCTCTATCGTAAGGATATGTCAGTACATGCATTCCAGCGTGATCGACGCCAGTGATCGTTTCTTGAAAGTGAGTACGTAATTTTGTTTATATATATATAAGACAGACTTGTCACTATGCCGAATAACATTTATCTTAGGAGTTGGAACGTCATAATTATGTCATTCCTACGTCGTATTTGGAATTGCTGTCCATTTATGGCGACCTTCTGAAAAACAAGAAAGACGAATTAAATTCTTCGATGACTCATTTATCCACCGGTGAGTAAAATTGAAAAGGTAAAATAATAGTTTTTCTATTACTCTAGAAAATGTTTAGGAAAGTTTTGGATGTAAGTTCTCTCTAATTATCCTAATTCGGTAATAGCTCTTTAGATATACAATGTCAAACGTATGAGATCAAATGTATGAGATATATTCTTTTTTAAGATACATTAAAAATTTCACAAGAGAATTTTAAAATAATATTTTCAAAAGTATAAAAGACTATTTTATATATTCCAGTCGCGGATGAAATAAATAGTGTAAAATGCGAGGAAAAATAGAAAAAAAAAATTTAGAAAGAATTTTATTATCTCTTTATATCAAATAAATTCCTTTACAACGGACATAACACGACTCCAATTAAAGTAATCAAATTGAAACGGATTAAAGCAAAACTTCTTTTATCTAATCTTTATTTCTTATTTGACCAACGGCGTACATTAAGCGTAACAGAAGGCGGATGTCAGAGGTCAAAGGTAAACGACTGCCATCGGTAATTTTCCAGTTCGTAAATTTAACGCCGTCTATCTGCCGGCAGCTCGTAATTCGTGGTAAATTTGAGATATCGATTTGCGCAGATCGCGGATGTCACTTGCATGTTAGAAGATAGGAAATGAAATATCTCATTTATGTTAACTCTGCAATATATCTTCGTATAACACTTCAATTTAATTTTATTTATATTGTATTTTAATTTTATTTATAATGTTATTTTTGAAAAAAAAACATAATGAGATCAACGTTATTAAGAATACACAGTAAAAAAAATGTATCAAATCCAAAAAAATGTTTTTTGATTTAAAAAAAATTATTTATTTAAATATTTGCAAAGAGGAATTAGTTATTTCAATCAAGCAGCAAATATATTTAAATTAGTAAAATATAAAATCAAAGCAAAGTAAATTTTAAATAATTGGTTTTACAAATTATAATTTTTATTACGTGCAAATACTAATTTATTTAATATAACAAAACATTCTTGAAAACAAAGTATATATTTATTTAAGTATAAAAAACCAAAATTAACAAAATATATTTATTTGATTAAAGAAAATTTTATTTTTGGTTTAGCAAAAAAATTGCAGAAAAACTATAATGAGATCAACGTTATTAAGAATACACAGTAAAAAAAATGTATCAAATCCAAAAAAATGTTTTTTGATTTAAAAAAAATTATTTATTTAAATATTTGCAAAGAGGAATTAGTTATTTCAATCAAGCAGCAAATATATTTAAATTAGTAAAATATAAAATCAAAGCAAAGTATGCTTTTATTTAAATAAAAAAAGAATTTGTTTTTTGATCTTTTTATTATACTAAATTCCTTTATTATACTAACTTCCTTTTAAAACAAAATTAACAAAATATATTTATTTGATTAAAGAAAATTTTATTTTTGGTTTAGCAAAAAATTGCAGAAAAACTATGTTCTTAATGTCTATTACCATCGTGTCAAAATGGAGACGCATCTATTGGAGCTTTAATGAGACCATGAAGAAAATTCAGCACCTTTATCGTGTCTTTAAAACACAAGACAATGCAAATTAATGACTTCATCTAATTTGCATAAATTAGCATTTATTTGTCTTTGTAATTCAACACGCATTTTTCTCAAACAGGATTGAGCAAATTGGCGGATACAGAAGCAGAAGTTAAAAATATGCAGGAGCTATTAAAACGTATGAAACCTGAGATAGAAAAAGCAGCGAAAGCTACAGTAGAAATGATACAAGAAATTACTCAAGACACGGTAAACATTAAAGCTCTCTGTTGAAGAGGGCTTTACATTCTCAACATTCAAATGTAACGTACGAAAGATGCAACTTATGAATTAACACAAAAAATTTAGTCCAAAAAATATTCCAACTATAATGACATTTTTATAACTAAAACCATTTCTCAACCGTGGGGGGATTCTATTTGATCTCTCTTTCTCTCTCTTCGACAACTTATAAAAGATTTTTACAATATATATTATATATGAGAGATTTATAATACGAGAGAATAACCTAGTTTATTAACTTTTAACGATGTTGATAAAATTGTTTCAAGTTTTTGCAAGCTTTTGCAAAAAAATTATTTTTTAGCAATTATGTTAATTAATTAATAAACTTTTAAATATAATTTTGTAATGTTTCCATTAAATTAAAAACATGTTAGCTAAATTAAAAACATGCTATTTTCTTCTAACAATAAGTTTTGTATTACGATACGAGACAAAATATGAGGTACTATGTTAATCAAAAATAAACAAAATATTGCGGTTTTTTAACTTGCCAATTGAGAAAAAAATATACACTATAATAATACAATTATTCTTCAATGTATAACACACAATAACATTTTGTTCATTAAAATATATATATTAATTAAATAAAACTCTTTGTAATTTTAAGAGAGAAAATTATAATACCATAATTTTAAATTCAACTGTTTTAATTTTATCTAAACAAAATTATGTTCTATAAATAAACATGCATCATAAAAAATTATTAATGAAAAATTCTCGTATAATTTGTTTAGTAATACAATTTTATTAGAAAGTATACAATTGTTATAAGAAAATGCATGTTTGAAATTTTAATGATCAAATGTCCATTCAAGAAAGATAAAAAGAAAACATTCTAGCTTGAAAAAGTGAAGGAATATATGATACAAAAATCTCCTAACAAATTTATCTATACATTTCTTCAATTATTATAAACGTTATTTGCATGACTAACATAAAAAAAATATATAATTATTTTACAATCTAATATAGGAAATAATTATTACAATTATAATTACATCAGTC